TGTCTAGTAATAATAAAAACTTGAGCACTGAAATAAGTATAAAAACACTGATGCATATACCATAAATCTATTTCATTTCTTTTGAGGCAAAATCCTTAGCATATGACTGACAACATGTTGTTGCTTGGCTTTACCGACAATTCGAAGTTTTGTTCCACACTGTTTTTATATATTTTTTATTCAATTGGGTATGCTTATTTTACTAAAATTTGAATTTTATTTTGCAGTATAAATTATAAAATATGTAATTCCTCTAAAATCGTTTTTGCGAAAAGGTGGTTTCCTCCATACAAGGTGAACAGATTAGTTGGCATCGATAGAGGTATAAACTTTAGGGTTTTATGTATTATAGGTAAAGTCTTTGATTGCAACAGGTGAATCCATAATGTATCACAAAATTATAAGCTATACAGTTTGAGTACTGTGACCCGTGCATAGTTAATTTTATGTGAGGTTTAGGAGGTAACATAGGGAATATGAAATAGTGTTCCTATTATTGAAGCAAATGTCTTTTCTCTTTCACTAGCAATTTGAATTAAAATTTAATCAAATAGGATCTTGATTTGCTGTGAGCATCTATATTTATTTAGCTGTAGCAAAAATACTTTATTTCATTGCTCACTACTAGATGTCTATTCAGAGTACTTATTTCACAAAAAAATTTAAAAGAAATATGTAGCTCGAAATAGATTCTCAGTTTTATGGTACGTTTATGGTGGTTTTTCATGCAGATAGATTTAATAGAAACATGCAAGATACTTGCTCAAGTTCTTGCTGACCTACACGATGCCTGCATCCTAATAGGTCGTATTTCAGCTCCTATATTTTTGACAAATAGCTGAGCTCCAAAAAGCTCTGTCCGTGGTGCTGAAACCTCTCATGATGTATGAGCATGTCTGGCTGATAAATTCTAATGTCAGCCTCTGTGTGATAGTGATTCATCAGGTTGTAAAATGTGTGTTTGGGAAACACATTGAATTAGCAAGTTATATATTTTGGTTGTGTTAAAATTAACACAGTTTGTCCTTTCATTTTAAAGAGTTCATAACAATTACCTTACACATTGTCAAAAACAGTTAGGATTTAATTAGAAATTGTCAATGCTGTCACAAAAGAAATGTGTAATATTAAATAAATTCATATGACTACAGTGCTGGAAATATTTGCAGGCCAGCGACATGTTGATAATATGCAACAAGCTACTGTAAGAAAAGTTCAACAGTTGCTTATGAAAAGGCACAATGACAGTTAACATGGAAGCCTGTAGCTTTGTAGAGATAAGTGATTGCCTAGCAAAACTACGGATTATTATCCTAGGTTTTTTTTTTATTGTTCCAGGATGTTTCTTTTGTACAAAAATGCATTTGTTTTTGCAGGATTTTGGGGTTTTGTTTGTAAAAAGTACTAAAACCTTCAAAAATCTTAGTTTTTTTCCGAGCAAAATACTTATATTTTCTATATAAGACTTTTAAATAGCTAATAGTGTTCTTGTCACTTCAATTTAATGATTTACAATCTTTTAAGCTGCAGTATTTAGGTGCCTTAAATGTAGTCATAGAGGACTGCACTTATTTTCTTTTACTTTAGTTTCAGAAGCTATTTCTTTAGTTAATAAAACTTACCTCTTTAATTTTTATTGAACTCTGAAATTATCTGAATGATGTCATTTTTATACTGAGGTGAACTAAATAAAAGGGAAAATTTCAGAAACTTGAACCTGGTAAACTTCTATTAATGCTATATATTTTATATGAAATTCTAAAAGCCTAGTCTGGGAATGGGTCATATTTCCTTGCCATGTTTGCAATGCAGTAAATTATTAAGTTGTTTGCTTGTTATTTCTGTGAAGCTCATAAGTGTTTATCACAGAGAGATTTAACATTACACCTAGATCATAAGTCCTACTGAAATATGGCAACATTTTTCTGCAAAGCAAATAGCCTAAAGCTTAGCTACCACTAATTATTGACATAAGACTTTCAGTTGCTAAGATACTGGATTTATGTTATCTGAACCTAATAATTAAATCCACTCTAAAAGCTGCTTGTTGAGAAAAGAAAATCTTTAAGTGAATACATAATTTTCTAGGGGATTTGTTTCTGTCAATAGTTAAAGGGTTAAATACAGTATTATTATTATTCTTGCCTTTTAATATCGATAAAATGCATTCTAAAATCCATTTTTGTGCATTATAAACACGTAGTTACATACCTAATAAAACCATCTTACTCTTAGCATTCCAAATGCCATTATAGAAAAACACTTTTCAAAACTTTATCATTTAAATGATACCTGGTCAGATGATATTTCCCAGAAATTATTCTTTATTTAGAAACAAAAACAAGACAAAAGCAATTGATTTTAATCCAAAATGTATTTTTCCTTATAAAAGAGGTCCACATACTCACTGTGTCTACTCTACAGAATTTGACCATTTTATTACACAACGTGTCAATTCAAGTTTATCTGGTCACTGCAAAAACTCGTGGCTAATATGTGTAATACAACACAGGAGGAGGTATTGCTCAGTTCAACTACTCTTATAGACTTAAAAAAAATACAGAAATGTTTTTGTCCACGTGAACTGTAGTCCAGACATAAAAGTTACATGAAAGTTCTAGAAAATGGAGTTATTTTATTTGGTTGCCACAGTACCCCTTGAAACCAGTTAATTAAAATGCTGAACTTGTACATATTTCCATTTGTCAGGAGCAGCATTGGTGAAGCTTAAACTTCTATTTAAGAAAGTAATGTTTCTCTGCCTTTTTGTTTTGTTTGTTTGTTTTAAGCACAACTGCAGTCTTGAGCTTTTCTTTGAAGTAGATTTAGTTGGTTGTTTTTAGGACGTGTTTGTTGGCACACCTATAACCGTCGCTTTCACTTCCAGTGATGTACCTTTCTCTTTACCTGCTTCCCAGAGGTTTATCAGAGGAGGGTAAAGCTCACTGAATGCAAAGCTTGGTTTCTGTAAGTAATTCCTCACATAGCTATGTCCACCATCACAGTTCATTTCTTGAGAGAGGCAGCTGACAAGACATATCACACCAATAATCCCCAGAAGGCCTCCAAGGCAGGCCATAAGTGTTGTGGTGTTACTCTTTTCATACTCTTTTTGATCAGGATCCAAAGCTTTTGTGGTGACATTTACACATTGTTTTCTGTTTCTCTGATAGATGGTAGGGAGATCAATACAAATCTTATACTCAGTTGATGGGTTCAGATGAGTAAGATTATAGACCTTGACATCAGATGGTATTCGAGCACTTTGGGCAGCATGAGAGTTTTCAGACTTGACAAATGCTGTCCACTTAACACTGGATTTGAGAACTTTAGAACTTGCTTTCCAAGACACCAGAACGGAATTGGCCTGAATATCTCTTATTTTAATATTCAAAGATCCATTGTTATCCTGGGGAAAAGAACCATCCACTTTGATCATAACAGACTTCAAGTCAGCACCAACTAGGTTAGTTGCTATACAAGTATACAAACCCCCTTCTTTCGAGGTTATGCCACTTATATCTAGTGTGCCTTCAGAATGGACATAGAACTTTTCTGTCAGAGTGTTAGGCAAGAGTTTTTGACCAGAAGGTGTTATCCAGTAGATTTCTGGCTGTGGTTCTGCAGTAGCTCTACAGTGTAAGGAAATATAACTCCCAGCTTCTACATTTAGATTAGAAGGAAAGCTCTCAGGGGCTATAAGAGGGAGGCAAATTTCCATCATGTCCCTGAAATGTACTTGCCGAACATTCTGGCCTTGGAATTCAGGTGGGTCCATGCAAAACAGTGAATCTGGCTCCATAAATCGAATGTTGGTTTTGTTCATATTAATCCAACGGATGACACAGTCACACCTGATGGGGTTGCTGTGTATGCTGATTTCCTTGAGGTTTGGTAGAGACTCAATGGTACCATGGTACAGGGCACTGAGGGCGTTGCTGTTCAGCATGAGTGATTCTAGTTTGGGGAGTCGGAAAAATGCATTGGGGTGAATGTAAGACAATCTAGGGTTGTTAGTAGCTTCTATTTTCCTTAAATCTGGCAAGTTATCCACAGCAAGACTGTCGATGGAAATAAGCTCAGGCATGTTATTTATCCCCAACTCTTTTAAGTGTAGCATATTGCTAAAATCACCCCTTCGTATTCTATTAATAGGGTTTTTATTTAGATCCAAAAATTTGAGATTTATAACTTTTTGAAGAGCAACATGGGGCACTTTAATAAGCCTATTGTCATAAAAAGAGATACTTTCTAAGTTTTCAAGTCCAACCAAGGCATTATCTGGTATTTCCGTGAGGTTTATACCAGCTATAACCAGGCTGCGAAGATTGATAAGAGGCTTAAAGTTCATGTCTTTGATTGCAATGATTGGATTTTCCCCAATCATCAGAATCTCTAGATTTGGAAGAGCATCAAACCACTTACTGTTGATCGTCTGCAATCTATTTGAATTGAGATGAAGTCGAAGAAGATTATGTAGGCCAATAAAGGCTCCGGGTGAAATTGTAGAAAGCAAGTTGTGATTAACATAGAGTTCTTGTAAGTTGCTCAGTTCAGACAGACATTTTTCAGGCAGCTCAGTAAGTTTGTTTTCCTCTAGGTACACAGAAAGGAGCTGAGGCATCTTTTTTACATTAATATTGGTGACGGAAGATAAATTGTTTTGAGATAAATCCAGGCTAGTAAGGTTTACTGGAAAGTCTATGAAGTATTCAACTTTTGCAATATTGTTAGTCTGTAGGAGCAGAATTTGTGTGTCAGCAGGCAATCTGGCTGGAAAATTTAAAAGACCTAAGTCATTACAATCCACTGTAGATGCTTCCATATAAATGGATCTGGGTGTAAACCAAGGCCTGATTTCACACGTACATAATTGTGGGCAATCCACTTTTTTATCTACAGCTTGTACTAGTGTAGTAATAGCTAGGCCGAATAGCACATGAATTTGGAGTGGCATGTCCTTCATCTTAGCTTTCTTCTTCAGAGATTTAGTGGCCCCTTAAGGATTCCACAGTCACTGCTAGTAAATTCAATAATAGCTGATTGATAAGGAAAATACTTGAATTTGTCAAATGATGAATGCCATAGAACCGCAAAGTTTTTCTTCATGGAAATAAGTG